TCTACATATAGGTAAAATTAATCACTGCAGTAAAATAACTGTCTGTTTTTGTCACTTTTACAGTGGATTGTATCAACTSTGTTACATACARAAGGGAAACTTCACCAAAGTGAAACATAAATCTGTGGATCTGTGTTTGATTACTCTGGCTGCCTTTCTCAAGGACCAGGATGTGACACAAAAATCTGAATTATGGAACTGAAAGTAGTCAAAATGAATTTTTAATAAAACAAAATACAGCTTCAAAGCAAATTAACTCAAGTTCAAAACTTTAAATTCAGTTTCAAATGATTAAATTCAGTTTCAATTTAGTGAATTTTATTTTCAAACCAATGCATTCAATTTCAAATTATGCACATTCAKWTTCAATCTGAGCAATTYAAATTCARTTCCTGCTGGCACAAGATTTATCCCATACACGAGTGTCAAACAGTTTCACTGAGGGTCACGAGCATCATGGGYCAGTTGTGATGAACTTCAATGTTTTGTGTTTAAGTTTGATAAAACAAAGAACATCACGCTCCTGAGCATCTCTAACAAACAATAACTGAGCTCTACCTGGTATTTCCTACAGAGAAACAGTATTTTAACACGTCCTTTTATAAACACTGAAAAGTACTACGTGTACGACGGACTAAATGTGAAATAAATAATACAGAAACACTATTAAAGTAAAAGTAAGAGAGTTTTACTCACTGTTGAGTGTCTTCAATTCCCACTGGAGGGGGCATTCCAGTTTAAATTTATGATTAGTAAGTGGGAAATTCCCACTTCCCAGTATAACTGGGTCACAGCAAAAATAACTGGAGAAAATGCAGCAAAATGGAGATTTTACACAGTAAATTTTGCCGGCTACTTTTGAACTCTGTAAACCTTCATCTAGCGGTGGGAAGACATCATTTCCCAGGTAAAATAACCACTTTGCATTATGGAAGATGTAGTTTATGGTCAATGCTGGCTTCAGAGCTTTGAAGCTCTTTCATGCCCCATAAAATGTATTGGCAGGCCACATTAGTTCATCAAAAGTCATAACTTATAGTAAAACTGTTTGCATTTTGTTTTTAGTGAAAATTAAGAATCTGAACAGGAAGTCTTCAATCGGGCTATTGGTATCATAACGCCACCCTCTGAGATTCCGTGTTTGTGTCAACACAGTAAAAAYTTGGACAAAATGCTGAGGTTATATCTGAAAGGATGTGGCTGAAACTGCTGATGCTTCAGAAGAAGTCTCATTAATGTCATGACTGAAGTAGAAACAGAAAAAGAGAACTAGTTCCACTTCAGACAAATGAGCGCTGAGTATAAAGACGAAAGCTAAAATGCTGCTATAAKGTTTCAGTGGATCTCTTTTGTGATTGTTAACTAAATATTCAAAGTGTTGAGTCACAACACAACACTCGGGTCAGTCTTCAGTCCACAGCTCTCTGTGTGCTCACTTCAGCTCTGTTCATCGAATTTCACATTTCACAGCTCAGAGCTCCAGTGGCATGCTCCACGGACGGGGATCAAGACAGGGATTTGGAAAAATCCCAGGCCATTTTAGTAACTACGTAGAGCCTTTGTGTGGCACAATGATGTTAACGGTAAAAGCCTCAGGGGGTTTTAAAAACAGCTGCACACTTAGAAAAAAYCCAGAATAACAAAACCTACCTCCTGATTCTAAAGTTTTTACATACCAAACATTTTTAATTAATTAATACACAGCATAAATGGGTCTGGCCCAGTTCTGGTCCACACAGTGCTCTAAAACTCTAACATTTTGCCCAGATTCGACGAAGAATGTTGGCCCTTTGGTGGCCCAAATGTAGTTTGCCAGAGGTGGTCAATACATGGGCCAGCACCACATAGGCCAAATCTCAACTGGGCCAGTTTTGACATGCTATATTAAAAACAGTGCCATAATTGCCAGGCCTGGACCACAACCGGCTGACAAACCACTTGCCATGCCAGCAGTGCCAGCTTGACCCCAGATCTGGCCCACACCTGTCTGCTTTGTGATTACCCACATAGCAGAATGCGTTCGGCCCAGTTCTGGCCCACACAGTGCACTAACTCTCAGCCCAGATATGACAAAAAAAGACATCTGATTTGGCTCAGATGTGGTTTACCATAAGTGGGCCTTGTGTAGGCCAGCGCCACATAAATGAAACCACAACCGGGCCAGTTGTGGCACTGACGTATTTGGGCCACATAACCCAAAACATAATTGGGCCAGTGCCATCATTGCCAGACCTGGCCCACAACCGGTTGCAAAACAAACTGTCATGCCAGCAGTGCCAGCTTGACACCAGAACTGGCCCACACCTGTCTGCCATTTGGGTACCCACATAAGCAAAATTCGTCTGGCTCAGTTCTGTCAATCGCAATGCACTAACACTCGGCCCAGAAATGACAAAAACTTACGTCCAATTTGGCCCTTGTGTGGAGGTGGTCTATGCATAGGCCAGCACCACATGAACCAGATTTGGCCCACATAAACCAAACCTCAACTAGACCTGTTATGTCATCTTAAAACAGTGAGATCAGTTGACAAACCACTTGCCATGCCAGCTGTGCCAGCTTGACACTAGACCTGGCCCACAGCTGTCTGCTGTGTGGGTTTCTTTGTCAACTCTCAGCTACCAACTCATCAAACTTTCTATTAATATTGTTGCTTAATATAACAAAGTTTTAGCCATTATTGTGTTTGCTAAGATTGTTCAGCTGTGGTGGCAATCTTGAATTGGGTTGCCTCCAAGGGTGGTCCTAGGGGCGGGGCCACAGGGGCACTCCTGTCCTGTCAGTCATCTGTCTCTTGCCCAAGAATGATGATGCTGGGTGCAGTTCCATGTCTAAACACTACAGGTGCTAATGAGCCAAATAGAAAAGTCCAGAATGAATCAAGCTGACAGAAGTATTTGTCTTTTCTTAAAATTTGAAAAATCCTGTAGAAAAAGTATTTTAACTCACAAATGTTGGCTGGATTATCTCAAATGTTGTGTATTTGAGAGTTTTTTATCTACATACTGTAAAATAAATGTAAAAGTGTTTAAATGCGTGACTGGTAAAATATATACACCATACCTAAACCATGATGTTTTATCTTCAACTTCAGTCATGGACTTTGCTTCTACATCCACAAGTTTGTCTTCAACTAAGTCAGGAGATGCTGCTGCTCCCTTTCCTTCCCCCTCCCACTTTTCTGTATCTAGAAGTCAGGTGAAGAGGCAGCTAGAGAGACTGAACCAGAAGAAGGCTGCAGGTCCAGATGGTGTTAGCCCCAGAGTCCTGAAGGCCTGTGCAGAGCAACTCTGTGGGATTCTGCAACACCTCTTCAACCTTAGCTTGACCCAGGAGAAGGTGCCAGTGTTGTGGAAGACATCCTGTCTGGTTCCAGTACCAAAGAAAACTCACCCATCAGCCCTCAATGACTATAGACCTGTTGTCCTGACATCCCACATCATGAAGGTCCTAGAGAGACTCCTGTTGACCCACCTGAGTGAGCAAATAAGCAAACATCAGGACCCCCTGCAGTTTGCTTATCGTCGTGGAGTTGGAGTTGACAACGCCATCAT